CTCCGGCGGAGGCGGACTCGAGCCATATCCAATAGCTAGGCCATATGGAGAAGAGTCCGAATGGACTGTCACCGAGGAGGCCGCAAAGCTCACCGAGTGCTGACAGGGCTGTGACCGAGTTGCCAAGACCTGGGAGGCGACATTCATAGCAGCAGCCTCTTCCGCCTTGAGCGCCACTTGCTCGTCCCAGGAACTGTCCTTCCATCGTCCAGCTATACGCCGCACCAGATCGGCCGCTAGACAGCTCTCAGGATGAAGACCGAGTACATCGTACCCAACGCCGGCGAGACGGAAGCACTGCCGTTTGCTCGCAGTCGAGCCGGGAGGGTAGTCGATAATAGTCTCAGTGCCTGGTAAGACACACCGGAGCTCCACCGTGTACACTCCCTGAGCCTGCACGCATGCAAACGTGACGCCCAGGTGCACGAAGCTAAGGAACTCTTCGCGGCAACCATCATGAGAGAAGCAGATCTCATGGCCTTTTACATCTGAGAATGTGAAGCCCCAAGCGCGCCCGATAGCCTTAAGATACCCTCGCAAGGCCCGAACCTGGCTGACCTCACCCAAGAGCGTTATATCGTCGACGTAAGCCCAGTAGCACAAGGGCACACCTGCGGCCCCAGGTGAAGCGCCACCCGAGCCGAGGGTTTTTGTCACAGCCGCTGACAAAAGACCATACATTGCTTCTTCCAAAATAGCGGGCCCCGCCTTGTGCCCAAACAACAGGCGGCGTACCTCAAACTTCCTACCAAGGCACCGAACTCGGGCAACGTGACCAGACAGTCGTATTCGATAAAACGCCGACTCGGCGTCCATCGTAACCATCGCCAGCCGACGGGACTGGCCGCTAGACTCCGCTACAGCTCTAGACGCCTATGCTATTGCCACCCTTAGCTGAGCTAGTATCACCGAGCAGGATTTGCCTGCGTAAGAAGACCGTGGCAAGGTGGCATTGGTCTTCCTCATGTCGACACAGGGCCTGACTTTTTGGCCTTGCACGACAGGGAAGGCTATACTCTCCGCTAGAGGGCTCAATGTAGAGTCCGAATCCGCGGCACTGCATCCTTCTGACCACCATCCGCGATCCACGAACTTTTGGACTTCGCCCTCAAAGATGGCCTGCTGCTGGTGAGAAAGTCGGCTATGCAATCCTAGCGAGTAGTCGAAGATCCTTGCGGTGTCTTGCGTCTCATCAGAGCATCTCTCCCACGTGGCTTCTACAGCATAGATCTGACCCTCACAGTCCTTAACCTCGCCTTTCTCAAGCCTGCGTAGTCGGACCGAGTAACTTGGCGCGGCCCGCACCGCTTTCCACTTGTCGGTAAGCTCGTGTCGCGGTCGAAGGAAGTCTGGTGCCACTTCGAACAAGTCTTCATCTCCCCCAATCTGCTCCACCGCGTCGACAGAGACGACTCGATAGAGGGCCTCTTCGTCGTGAGCTTTGCTGGAGAGGACCGTCAGGGCCTCACCCAGGATGGACACCGACCCACAGCATCCGCGCGCATCCGCCTCATTGACCGTGAGAGGTTTGCCCGGCGAGCCGACCTGGGTGGGCTTATTCTCAGCGCCGACCCTCACCCGCACGCATCGGGCACCCCTGTGCTCGAAGAACTCCAAAGAGATGGACAGCTGACACATAGCACGAACTCCCAAAATGCAAGGAGGCGCTGACAATCCGGGCCCTGCCTCCTCTATGACGTAAAAAATGAGCTTCTGCTTACGGCTTCCGACCGATGCCTCCAATTCGACCTTCCCATGGAGCGACCTCCGGGTACCATCAGCCAACCTAGCAGTCTCGGTAGTGGGCTCGATCGGCCAGCCGCGTGCAGACGTCTTGCGCAGAGAGATATAATTCCGAGCCGCTCCGCTGTCCAACAACCCCCTCAGCGGGGCAGAACCGTCGGACAACACCAATGTAACCGTTGGGCCAGAGAATACCTCGTCAGAATCAGAGCCTGGCTCTGGGAGAGCATAGAGTCGTTGGATAACTCCTTCCTGTGCCTCGTCAGACTCCTTAGCTACATCGTCGCCATAACCTGGAGCCACGTCTACCGATACTGCACGTAATTGCCCCTTGTCCTTATTGGAAGCTCCTCCAGCCTCTTTGTTTTGAGCGCGGGAGCCATGTTGGAAGCGGCACTGATCTCCAAAGCGACATTTCCCTGTCTCGGCCCAGAGACGACATGCATTCCTGTCGATATGAGCATAACGACAGTTCCCACCCCGAGAACAGCGTCCACGCAAGAAATCCCGGCATGTAGCGCCAGCCGTCGACTTCTGGCCATCCATAGTCTTGGTGCCAGAACCAGGATGGGCATCGCTCGGGGCCTGCCTCTGGGCTGGTTTGACCTCGCGACGGGTGGAGACCTCGGCTGACGGTGGACGACCATTCTGTGCCGTCTCGCCTTCCATGCGGATGGCCCGCGTTATAGCACGTAGTCTGAAGTCCTTCCACACGGAGGGATACTCATAGCTTGCCTCGCGGGCGACCTCCAGATGGACACCAACCCTGTATGCCTGTATTAGTTGAGCATCCGCTAGAGCAGCACCAGCGACTCGACATCGCACCTGCCATTCATCCAACCTCGCAATGAACTGGGAGACCTCCTCAGCAGCTCCGCGAGACGGGGGATGTGAGACGAGCTTCTCCACCTCGATAGACCCACCAAACTCTCGGCTCAGTTTCAGTCGGATAGCCTCAATGGCCTCAGCGAACTCCTTGTCAGTTTGGGGGGACACTGCACCAAGCGCATCCTCGAGGACATCCTCCGACAGCAAGCCGGCCAGGAAAAAGAAGTGCTCAGGGCCCCCGAGCATCCATCCGCGACGACGAACCCGCCCGAGGATTTGTCGCCAAAAACCGGAAAAACCACGGGTATCTTTCGACCCCTTGAAAGCTCCACCTTGGAAAGCCGGGATGGCCTTCTCAGCGTCTTTGATAGCGTTACGACGGCGACTTTGAGATATGCGCTCAGAGGACAGGCTATGAGTAGCAATTTCGACAGCCTTCAAATCGCTCCTCTTGTCGTCAGGGAAGTTAGACCACGCAGGAGCCTCGCTGGGCGATGGTGGCACCGCAGATGTGGAGAAGGTTTGTGGTGATGGGCTCGAGACAGCAAAGAACCGAGTCTTCCATCCAACCGAGAATGGGCTTGAGGGGTTAGCAAATAGCTCCTTCTTGGCAGCAATACCGTTGAAGCGATATTGCAAACTCAGCCTGGGAACAGCTGGCAGGTCGAGCCACCAAGGTTTCTGGATTATACGAAGACAGACCAACGGCGGAAGTCGCTCCTTCCAGAGGCTTAACGCCTCAGGACCAAGAACGGCCTCCCCTAGCATATTACACGACGACCCGATCCAGAAGGCGACATAGGCCTCAAACCCGACGCCGTCGATGTCAGAGATGTCGTTGGCCAAGCTGGCGACGTCCCCTAAATGCTGCAGCGGCTTCACTGCTACCGCCTTGGCTACCTTCTCCAGGAAATCGTCTGGGTCGGGCTGGGATGTAGCATTGATCGCGTGCTCCACGACCCCCAGGAAGGCATCCGCGAGTGCGTTAGGGTCGGGACGAATATCCCTGGGAGCCGGGTGAGGAGCCCTCGGCCCAGACAAAGACCGAATCCAGAGCTGGCGTGGTCCCCGCATCGGAGCCAGATGTTATGGTTCTGCCAGACTGGACTGAACTCTGCGCCATTAACGTCTCAAAGAATGAAAATCTAAGTGCCTTATGATCTCTTATATAAAGTTGAACCTCTTAAACCAAACTGATCGTCGTAAAACTTAGGCTGTTCTGCCAAAAGCGAGATCGAGAATATAAAGGCGTCGATGATCAATAACATGTGCGCGCGTGCGACGAGCATCCCCTGCACGCATACGCTGTCTAAAGGCGCCTATCCAGAGAGTGCTCTGACACTCACCATCTGATTTTTTCATCTGAGTAAATACTCTGACTCACCTGTTGCATCAGGATCCGCATACGGCCCCAGGAGTGGCCGCCGGAACGTTCGGATCGGCTCTCGTATCGAGTATCTTGCGCACCTGATGAAATATGCATGGGTTGCACAATAAATTTCGCGGATTCTCCGATCCACGAAAGAGACACAGATTGTGTAACGTACCACTATTCGTACACATCCTAACACAATAAGGCAGTGTGACGTCTATTACCCTTGTCGACTGTACTCGAACAGGATCACTTATGCAGTGATTTCCTTTCGTTCACAAGAGTACTCTTGGCAAAACCCTAAACCGTGATGATGATACGTATACCGCATCCACTCGGAGGTTTAGTCCACTCCAATGCTTTGGATGTGCGACTTCGATGAGTTCATCTCCCGTAATAGGTAGATGTGGGTGACGGTAATACTGAGCGATTAGTAATTATAGCAATTAGAGCAATGATAGCGATTTCACCTCGACCTATAGAGTATAATCTGATGCATTACAATAAGGTAATAAAAAGAGTAAATATTTGCGGGCGGGTTAGTCTGTTGTCGAGTCGCAGAAGCGGAAAAAATAAAGTACAGTAATGCACTTGCCGCGTACTGTGAATGACCTATCACTCATAGCAAGTATAAGGTTGGGTTAGGATGAGAAGTAACGTTGAAAATTCTGATGCATTACAATAAGGTAATAAAAAGAGTAAATATTTGCGGGCGGGTTAGTCTGTTGTCGAGTCGCAGAAGCGGAAAAAATAAAGTACAGTAATGCACTTGCCGCGTACTGTGAATGACCTATCACTCATAGCAAGTATAAGGTTGGGTTAGGATGAGAAGTAACGTTGAAAATTATTGCTAATATTCAGAGAACAGCCATCGAGAGCCGCTGACGTACTCTTGTCTGTTCTTTCCGGTGAAGGCTCACGATTAAAGTAAGTTCTCTTACCATTCAACGTGATGCTATGGTCACTGATCGGTGAGTTCGAACATTTCCTGATACACTAACAACTCAACTCGCCAAGTTAGAACCATCGAATATTCGTTTGCGACACTCGCTCTGGAAGAGCCCCGACGAGCAATGGAGATATTGATGGTATTTATACGGTATGAACCATACCAGGATCGAAGGACAGGGAAACGTAGAGATACAATATGATGATGCGGATGATTGTGGTGGTGATCACGAGCTGTGATTACCGGGTCAATTGGGAGCAAGTCACTAACCTCCCATAAACACCTTGGTCATCTGCTAGGCTATATCACTATCAACGAGCTGTCGTAAAACCCCCAGAAATGATTAACTGTGGTGAAGAAACGTACAATAGCTTGAGGCGATTCAAATAACGTTTGCTCCACAAGTTAAAACTGTACAAACTGGCAGCCGAGATAGTGCTCCTAGTGAGGTAATAAAAAATTATCGCCTTGTACCAGGGTGCATCATCATCTTGCAGAGCACACGTTGTGTTTGAGTCTAATAATGTAGAGAAATCGAGAATGAGACTACAGCGGACCGACCTACGTGAGCGATACCTCGCAGGGAACGCTGAAAGAAAGGCGAGTGCCTTTGACACATCTATTGGAGCGAGTAAACGCAGGAAAAACACGACAATAACTACACATGTCTCACTACAGCTATACTAGCATATCTATCTCACTGCTATGATACTTACAATACAATACAGCGGCAGAGTCAGCTTAAAAACAGGCCACTACCACTGT